TTAGACTCTTGATAACATCCAAGATCATGTTTCATTAGTTTCGTTATTATCTCAGTCAGTATTATCCTGATTAATCATTTACCTCCAGTCATTCTGATCATTAGTTGTAGTAATATAGTAATAAATAGATTTTTATCAACTATATTTTTGCCTCTGTTTCAAATTATTGATAAGTGTTGGTTCCCTGGCTACTGAAATACCTACTTCCAGAGTTAAAGGGACATTAAAGGTTTGATAATATTAATGATTCATAATTTTATAGAACATTATATTTGTCATATTTTATTGACAGTTTATTAATTGTGACACTTACAAAATGTTACGCTTTCATTTTGTTCTTTTTTTAACCTAAATTTATAATCATCTGTCATTTGTTTTATGATATTTGTGTGGTGGCCTCATGGAGGGGGCCATCGTCTAGCACACTGCTGCTAACCACTCAAACATTCTCCCTCTCCTGATAATAACTTTTTACTTTCCTTGACATTGAATGTGCTACTACTAGTTTACCCGTTTAACTATAAATTCACTAGGATAAATACAATAAAGTTTATCTTTCACCAAATAGAATATTTACTAAGAAATCACAATGTAACTATAGACACATTACTTGTTTTTTTGTGTGTGTGTGTGTGTGTGTGTGTGTGTGTGTGTGTGTGTGTGTGTGTGTGTGTGTGTGTGTGCGTGCGTGTGTGTGTGTGTGTGTGTGTGTGTGTGTGTGTGTGTGTGTGTGTGTGTGTGTGTGTGTGTGTGTGTGTGTGTGTGTGTGTGTGTGTGTGTGTGTGTGTGTGTGTGTGTGTGTGTGTGTGTGTGTGTGTGTGTGTGTGTGTGTGTGTGTGTGTGTGTGTGTGTGTGTGTGTGTGTGTGTGTGTGTGTCTGCCTGCTCTGTCTTCTCGATCCCCAGTGAGTCGTGGAGGATGGCTGCTTATACTGAGCCAGGATTCTCTGGAGGTTTCTTCCTGTTAAAAGGGAGTTTTCCTCTCCACTGTCGCGTTATGCTTGCTTAGTATGAGGATTGCTGTATAGTCACTGACACTAGTCAGTGACTTGATGTAATTTGCTGGGTTCCTTATATAGGAAACATTATTTCTGATTGGCTTAATGAACTGTCCTGGATTGGAATGTTTATTATGTGAAGTTCCTTGAGACGACTCTTGTTCTGATATGGCGCTATATAAATAAACTTGAATTGAATTGAATATTTATGATCATTTAGTAATTCCATGGCTTTGTTTTCCTGGTTTTAACTTATTTTATGATATTTTTTGTTTTGTTTTTATCTCTGTGAAGCACTTTGGGACTCTCTGTCTGTGACGAGTGCTACATAAATAAAATTGACACACTCACTCACTTGTTTGATTCAGATGATCAGTTCTGACTATTTGAACATGTGTTTGTGACCTGAAAACACGTTGGGCCAGATTTAGGGGCATTCCCACCAGGATAATCTCCAGGAGTTATTTCGTTTGGACTGGGAATGATGAAAAGCTTCACATATTCCTCTGGTCTGGTTCACTTTCACACAACTGAACAAAACCACCTTAACAACATACAATTCAATTCAAGTTTATTTATATAGCGCCAAGTCATGACCAGAGTCGTCTCAAGGCACTTCACATAATAAACACTCCAATACAGGTCAGTTCATTAAGCCAATCTGAAAAAAAGTTTCCTATATAAGGAACCCAGCAAATTGCATCGAGTCACTGACTAGTCTCAGAGTCTTTACAGCAATCCTCATACTAAGCAAGCATGCATCGACAGTGGAGAGGAAAACTCCATTTTAACAGGAAGAAACCTCCAGAGGATCCTGGCTCAGTATAAGCAGCCATCCTCCACGACTCACATCAAACTTTCACATGTGAGTGAAGCGAGCTGCTGCTGGACCTGACATTTCTGGTGTTTTGCAACATGCTAAAATACAAGTGATGCATGAATACGTTTTCAGTTACCTTGCCTTTCTGGGACCAGAGGGGAGGCTCCAACTGACCACGTGGCAGCAGACCCGTTTCCAGACAGGAGAGGAAGGCCAGGAGGTGACCACCGGGGGGGAACAGCAGGGGCGGCCTCTGGATCCCGTCCTGACTCACCAGAACTAGTGTCCCCCCAGAATCAGCTGGACAGCACATCACAAATAGGCAGCTGTCACATAAATACATGCAACTGTTCACCATCATTTGATGCCAGCAATTTGAACCCCACCAGTAGCTTAGAAAGTTCTTTATCCTAAGTTTACTGATGTAAAAAATCATTCCTTCTTTATTTCTTTTATGGGGGGGTACTCACGCCTCTGATGACAGTGGAGGCAGACGATCTGACGTAGAGGAACAGTCAGAGCGTAGTCCCAGTAGATACTGAAACAGGACAAATATGTGCAGATCAGGATTTTCTAGACCTCATGAAGTACACCTCACAAACCCCAGAGGAAGATTAGTTCTTGTAGTAACTTAATGTTTGATTTCTATCTAAAGAGTTTTTGCTCTTGCTTCTTGCTGTGGACAGGAAGGACGTCCTGTGCTGTGGCAGACCTGGAGAAGCCTCTGACCGAGGACACTGTTGTTGAACTACTCTTTAGTAAAGAGGATCATGGTTGTCCATCATGCTCTTCGTTTTCATTCCATCGGCTCTAGAGTCTGCAGAGCCATCCCCAGATCAGAACCAGCCTTTTTAAAATCAGCCTACGGTTGAAGAAGTACAGAGGAATCCCACATAACTGCTCTGCAGGCCTTCAGGGGTCTGGGGCTGACCCCATCTTGACCTGCAGCCTTGTTTGGTTTAGTCATCCCATGCTGTCTCCTCACCTGACTGCTGGAGACGGAAAGGTGGGAGGAGAAGGTGAAGGGTGCACCAGCATCTCCTGATGTGAATGATGACACAAGTAAGCTAGAGCAGCAGGATCCGTGACTGAGTTGAACGATAAAACAGATATGGAAGGGAGGCTGAGGGTCAAGGGAGGGTAGAAGGTCTGTTTACTTGGAGGCAGGAGAGGAGGATGCTGAAATGAACCTATTAAATCGTTCAGTTCACTAACTCTGTTCAGATGTCCATCCATATGATTCTCTGTCTGATTCCCCCTGACAACTCATCATTGAAATCTTTACAACTTTCTTCCTTTGAGATGCTTTTGTATCAGAGCTGGAGAATAGAAACAAATTACACAATGTTTTGTTCTGATTTCAACAGTCATGATATAGTTTCATTTCAACTGTTTCAAAGCTTTTTTTCTGTGGCAGATTCATAAAATCAACTATTCAAAAGGAAATGTTAAAACCTGAATTAAAATGGAAAACTTAAGGCACGTCTGGCAGTCCGTCACCTGTTGTTCACAAGCACTGCCAGTCCACATGCATTTCTTTCAAATCTCCATGCTCTCGTACTTTTTGATGACCAAACAGGAGGAGTGGGAGTCGGGGATCCTGCTGCCACGTCGCAGAGGTCGGGTCCTCACCAGTGTCTCACTCTGGTCTACACTGTCTGTGAGAGATTTCATTTCGTCTGTTCTGATTACTGAAGGTGATAGTTTAAAAAAGGTGTGTCCACAGTGCTGTCCGGGGCCATTTGCGGCCCTTAGAGTGATTTTGTCTGGCCCTCATCATTGTTTTTAGAGTTTCTCCAGGAGGCTGTTGATAAACAAAAAATTAAATAATGTACGCATTCTTAAATAAATTTAAAAAGAAAGAAAATTTTGTGGCCCGTGAGGAGTTTTAACTTCATGATTTGGCCCTCATCTTGAAAAGTTTGGACATCCCCGGTTTAAACACTCTCTTTCTCTCCACTTTGCCTCTGTTCTACATCTACGTCCTCTTTAACCGGTCAGAGATTTGGGGTCACAGGTTTGGTATCATTCTAGACCAAAAAGTTTAATTCTCCAAGCAAAATAACATCTAAACCAAAAACAATCACTTAAAGCAAAACCCTAAAGCTGGGAACAGATGAAGAAAATCCCCAAACAAAAAATGCGTCCAACATGAGAGCTACTGCAAAAACCCCGTGTGGGGACATTCCTTTTCAGGGAAGAGTTAGCTTTTAGCTTACCTTTTTTCTAGGTCACAGTCTCCCAGAGTGCCATTAATGAGCTGGTTGGGCGTCCACTTTAGGGTGAGGTTGTCTCCAGCCTGATGGAGAGACAAGTAGCCCCGCAACACCTCCATGTCCTTCTTCTGTTAAAGAAGACAAAGGCGAGCTGTAATATTTGCTGTTTGATGGTGTCAATTTGGTGGAACGAAAGAAACAATTTTACTTAGTACACATGATGGCAAGCAGGACCCTTTTCATGTCCTATAAGCAGGGACATAGAGCTCTACTGGGACACAGACATCCTACTGCTGGAATCACATCCTTCTATGTTAAGGCCCTGCTGCATGGATGAAATAAGCAATGCAATTTCCTACAGCTCCAGCAACAGCCACAGACACTCATAGAAATAAACAAACAAGGGAAAAGGCAATATGAACATTTGTACTGTATACGTGTTTTAGGGTTTGTCCTGCGATGAGTGAAGATCTGCATACCTGTTGACTGCTGCCAGCCTGCAACCCTGAGCAGGACGAGGCCGGCACAGAAAATGACAGAGTGTTCTGAAAGTGTTCCGTTACCGTGACAACTGCTTCCTCGTTTTCATCTCTGAGGATTTCACCTGGTAGCTCCTTCTTTTTCATTTACTTCAGCCTGTTCGCCTACCTTCCAGCACCATGTGTGTGTGTGTGTGTGTGTGTGCGTGTGTGTGTGTGTGTGTGTGTGTGTGTGTGTGTGTGTGTGTGTGTGTGTGGCATCAAGGTTGACATAACGCATGTGTGAACAAATTATGCATTGTTTTTCTAATTTGCCTGAGACGTAGTCCTGTTAGTGTCCTACAGTGAAATGGGACACACTGGACTGGTACTGGGTTCCTCGCTGCGATAAAAAGCTTCTGGCAACGCCTAAAGTTTCCTATGAGCTGGTGTACGAACATGATGATGCCGCAACACGAGAGGTGTCATGAATTAGAAAGTTTGGCCTTTTACTATTCAGTTTATTCATAAACAGCAAGTCCAAATCGACGGTATCAGAGGGACTTTACTCCAAAGCCAACAGATCACAGAGTTTTAATCTTGGAGGCTAATATAGCTAGCGTTTATCCCCGGTATCCCTTCCTGTGCAGCTGTGCTTCACTCTGAGACTCATTTACGTTCACATCCACACCAGTAAAGAAAGGCTTACTTTGTAAAAGTGCCTCAAGTCTACAAGCTACACCAGAAGGACAGCTTTACCTTTAATTCTAAATAAAAACTAAAAACAGAAGGAGGACAGTCAACATGTTATTTATAGGATGTGTCTCAGGAATTTGTCGCAACGATCTCGTCTGATCTCAATCTCCTATGCTCAAATTAGTCATCTCTGTTCATTGCAGCTTGTGAAGCTACTGCGCTAAAACTGGGACATAGAATATGAAGAGTGGTGCATGTTCATCTAGAACCACACATTAAGTGACATTAACACTGAAACTTCTGTGTGTGAAAGCTGCATACCGGTTGCACCAGAACGTTGTTTTTGCCGTAAAGAAGGTGTGATCTGGAGTTCTGGTGAAGAGACTCCACATACTCCCGTGCTGATGCAGCAAACCTGTCCTCCGACATGCTGCCACTGGACTGCCTTTTGCGGATCTAGATAGAAACGTTGTCAATGAAACAAAGCCAGAGATCCCTCCTACATGTCACCACTCACGTTAAGCAGCTACATCAGCATCCACACTTACTCCCAGAGCAGGCCGGCGACCGGCGGACACATCCTGGCCCCGGTGGGCCCCGTGGATCCGGTGGCGTTGAACCAGCTCATTGGCTGATGGGTCTGTCCAGAAATGATCTGAGGTTTTCAGCTTAGTGTACTCCAGTGCACAGGGACCCACTAAAACCACAACACACACACACACAGAAAACCCCTTTAACTTACTTTAAAGGCACACTTGGTAGTTTCGGCTTGCTTCTAGCACCCCCTAGTCTTCGTCTAGTAGGGCCAAAAGTGAAACCTATCTCCACGCTGTGTCTTTGTAACACCTTAATCTAACAGCTGAAACGTCTCCCAGCCTTCATTAATGTCTACAGGAGTGGTTCATCACTAAATTAAACAAAACAGCTGTGTTCATGATCTAAAACATGCAGGAAACGTGCTGGAAGCAGACTGCAGCGCCAGGTAAGTCAGCTCCATTTTTTCTAAGTCCAAAAGGAGGCGGGCTGCCACTTTGAAGTTGCAAGTGCGTTATTCTGGCCACAGGGGGCGATAAGGGTCTGAGTGACATTTCATTAAAATATAAAAAAAGTTGCATAGTATGGCTTTAAAACCCTTATAATAGGAGGGCCTTAACAAAAACGCACCCTAAACATCTGACATAATGTACAGTTTATGTCATTTGAATAGTGTGATGCAAATTATACCTTTGAATAAACTGTAGAAAGAAATCCTAAACAATTATCTGACTGTCTAGAAATAAGAAAGAGAAATCCACTGAGTTGAAAGTCTTTATATGAGTTGAACCAGATCCAGTTTGGTGTTGGTTCTACACAGGAAACAAGTTGGATTTAGTCCATTGCTGCTTAAAGAGACAATGTGTAGTTTTTACCATCAATCACTGGAAACATCCATCAAATTTTTGTTGAAAATGATTTAAATGATACCCAGCTTCATAACATTTAACCATAAAAACCAGGTCTAAAATGCATGGGAGCGGGTCTAAGTCTCTGGGTGACGCCATATTAGATGCCATATTTCTTTCTACGGGAGCCCCTGAGGACAAAATGCATTTACTGATTTGTAACAAACAATTACAAAATTGTCACAATTCATAAATGTTGTTGTTTTACACATTTTACCTCTTCACTTTGGAGTAACATATCAAAAAGTTTTATTTGAATGACTTCACACTGCAAGTCCACATAACTTCAGGAACCCCCATGTTTAGTTCTTCGTTTCATGGATGCACGACCCATACTGGTTCTACCATCTTTTGCACACTCAAACCATCTTCAGCCCCCATTAGCTGCTATCTGCCTGTGATGGTTTGGTGAAGCTGGACAACATACTCACCTAGTAGAGCTGCTAAGATGGGCCCAAAGACCGGGTCATGCATTAGAGCTTCTCTTTCATAATATTTACTGCAAGAAAAAAACAGAAAATAGTGATAAAAACAAGTTTACTAAGCTTACAGAAACTATTACCTCTGAACACACCGTATTCAATAACCCACGACTGACTATTCTCACATCACATTGATGCTGTTCTCTCATGCCGAGGAAGAAAAACAATGGCATTGTAGAAGTTCTAGTCAGAAAAGTACCACAGTAACCTCTACGGCACTCTTTTAAAGTCTAGACTTGGTTTCTAACGTTGACTTGGTATGAGCAGGCGAAGTCGATGCTGCCAGCCTCAGGTCTACAGGGCTGCTGTTTGTTCAGGGGTCACTAACGGTAATACTCATCCACCTGCTGCTCTTTATTTCTGAGGGTCAGACACAGAGGCTGACATTTACTGAGGGCCTCTGATGTCAGATTAGATGAAGAGCACGGTGGTTGAGGGAACACGATGTCGAAACGTAACATCAAACCACAGAGCTTCATCTTCTCCATTAAATGAATGTGATCGTCATCGCCAGCCCGGCTCTTCGATCAGAGGGAGGCTGTGTTTGGAGATGCTGATTTTATCCCGACAGGACAGAGAACAAAGCCACTGACGGGAAACTCAACAGGTCATTCGAGGGACCGCTCATGATTCAGCCTTAACAAAGCCAGGACTGAAGAGCTGAGTCACCGCAAGCCAACAATGAAATAATCACCTGGAGCTGTCCACGATGTGCTGGACTATCTTATCCAGAACTTTCTCAAAAAGCGCTGTGCGGACCCAGATGTGTTTGACAGCCTGGGCAGACAGAGGCTGAGGGGGTCGGCTGGTGGTGGAGGAGCCCTGTCTCCTCAGAGGTTCATGACCCGCACTCTGGGCTCTCCTGTAGGGCACGGAGCACAGGTCACTGATGTTCCCAACAACCACAACCGTCATCAGCTCATCAGGCAAAGTCCTTCCTTTCACACTGACATCATCACACAAGTCTGACACACATATCACACTCCAGAGGGAGAAGACACTGTCAGACAAAGAGAAGGGGCAGATGATGGAGAAAGATTTACATCACATGAAATAATAAACCAATCACAGCTCCAAGATGTCCCCTCTCAAACTCTGGAGTCACAATATCACAACTCGAATTCTTTAAGGATTTATTTTTGTGTAACTGAATTCTTCAATCAACACAAATCAATGCACTGATTAACACAATCACACAGCACAACTAAAATAACGCAGAATAAACAAAGATAAAAAGTAACTTCAGTTCCAGAAACGTAAATCAGCTGTGAAAATATTAAATTAATCATGTGCATTCAACAGGTTAAAACAACTTTCTTATCCTGTCGCTGACTCAGCTCCCAGCAGAGACTCATTCACTGATTATCGTACGTGCTCCTGTTGCTGAAGCACCTGCTGGACTAATCACTGTCTAGATGGGAAAAGTTGCTGTTTCAAAAGCAAAGAAAAGATTTAGAGATGCGGATCCAGGAAACAGCTCCAGTGAGCAACAGCAAATCAGAAGGCATTTTGTTTTCAACCATCAGGAGGCAGCACTTATTAAACCTGTACTTGATTACAAGTCATTAATATTTACTACTTGTGATCACTCGCTGACTTCACAGCAAATGCTCCCCATGTCAGACAAAATGTGTTTGATTATGAGAAACATCAGCTGGAAGAAAAGCTTCATGAATTTGCAGGATGTGATGCAGATGAACAGTTTGATCTCTGCTGCTTCAATGGCAGTCAGATGAGAACACACACACACACACACACACACACACACACACACACACACACACACACACACACACACACACACACACACACACACACACACACACACACACACACACACACACACACACACACACACACACACACACACTCACACACCACCTTCTACGAGCTAATGAGGTTGTATTTGTGTGACTCTGCTGAGGGGGGCTCAGCTGCCGCAGTCACGATCTTAACAGTTGTGTGTGTGTGTGTGTGTGTGTGTGTGTGTGTGTGTGTGTGTGTGTGTGTGTGTGTGTGTGTGTGTGTGTGTGTGTGTGTGTGTGTGTGTGTGTGCGTGTGTGTGTGAGGGGTTTCAGCTAAGTCACGATTCTTGCAGTCCCCCAGTACCATCAGGGAAGCTCTAGCAGCACTTCAGAGGATGGTGAGGTGGTGATGCGATGAAAAGAGAACAGATCTCAGTTTTTAAGTAGATTTACTGAAAACTATTCAGAGTAAAATGCACCAGCCCTGAAACCCACCTTCTTCACAACTGATGCAGCAGCTTAAGGCTGCAGATAATTCCTGTTTCATGTGATGCATTTAAATTCAGAAGTGACTCTGAAGCGGAAAGAGTAACAAAAATTCAGCAAACAAAAAACAAACCCTGTGTCGGGTAATTCTAAATTACGTCCAAATTACCTAAAAAGAGTCAGAGCATACACAGAGGGATTAGATCTTTTTGGAAATTGTAATCATCAAACAACAATCAATAAACAAACTTTGCAAAGGGTGAAACATACACACCAGAGTCAGAGGCGGTTTGTTCTCACACAGAAATAAAGCTTCGGAGAGCTTTTATTAGGACCATGTCAAAGATAACCACACCTACATCAGAAGATAATAGGAAGTCTTCAAGGGGGTCTTCACAGCTGGACGCTACAGACAGACTAAAGAGTCACCAAGTCTAGCCTTGATGTGCCTGACAATTTGCATTCAGGCAGGAAGCATTTCTACAACACTTTAAAATGTAAAAACTCTGTTTGATTATGAATTTTTACCTGACACCCTGGACAATACCATCACTAGCCTCCCATGGAAACTTTTGTTGTAGATGCACACACCCCCCAATACACACACACACACACACACACACACACACACACACACACACACACACACACACACACACACACACACATACACATACACATTATACAAAAAGGAAATAGTGGTTGAACCAATAATGGGGTAAACATTTCTGATTGTAAACAACTACCTCTGCATAGAAATTGCACACACCTGCTGCTATATGTTTTGTATATTATTAGCGATATTTACCTGTTTAATATTATCTTATTGTTAGGGATGTTTTTTGTTTTGTTATTGTTGTGCATCTGCACTTTATGTAAATGTCTACGCATGGGACAGTGAAACGTAATTTCAATTCCTTGTATGGCAAGCACATTCGAAGAATTGACAAATAAAGTATTCTATTCTATTCTATTCTATTCTAAAAGATAATACCAGTTATTATGCCCCACCACATCTGGGGAGCATCAATGCTATAGGAGGAGTAGCAAGAGGAGGGGGAGGAGCTAGAGGAGGAGGAGGAGGAGGAGGTGAAGGAGAAGCAAGGAGGAAGAGGATGAGAGGAAGTGGAGAAGGACAAGGAGGAGGAGGAGAAAAAAGTGGAAAGGAGGAGGAGGAGGAGGAGGAGCCAAAGATGGACGAAGAGGAGGATGTGAAGGAGGAGCAAGGGGAGGAGGAGAAGGAAGAGGAGGAAGTGCTACAGACAGAGGAAGCAGAGGAGGAGGAGAAGCTAAAAGAGGAGGAACAGATGAGAAATCAACTTTGACCAAAGTTCAAAATCCTAGCTGGAAGTCCATTTTTGTCCAGTAGAACCATTAGAAGCGGGACACGGGGATTTGGCGTCATCCAGTGGTAAAAACTGGAACCAAACGTTTTTCTACCAGAGGTTCCCGAACTTTTTCTGCTGGGCCGATCTTCTTTGCACAACAATCCCAAAATTATGAATGCTCTGCGTAATCACGTGTGATCACAAGCCCTATTTCGGGGGGCGTGTACAAATGATGCTTCAAATCAGCGCAAGTAACGCGTGGCGGCCATTTTAAACACGTGTTCGTGTCACTAAACAGCAAGTATGTCACAGCCCTAATGCAGCCCATTCACTTCTGCCTTACTGTAATTACAAGCACCTTCTATTCTCTACTCCTCTCAGTCATGTTTTCCACTGAGTCATCATGGTAACCAAGGCGATGGGAGATGAAGCCTGGAGGTAAAATTACAGGGAGATGGAGTTAATGTGAGTGTGTGTGTATTCTTGCATGCATGTATGGATGCTGGTGGAAGGATGTGACTCGTGCAAGAGCTACATCTACACAGGTGTCCACATTGTCCTAAGTGTGTTAGTGTGTGAACGATAAAGGTCAATGAGATGTGCAGGTGTGTCAAGAACAGCAGCTGAAACGATGACAAACAGCTGAGGGCGCATCGCTCCCTTCAGCTGGTTCCTTTCTGCTGATCAGCACCACAAGGAGCGGCCACGCCACGGTGACTGACATGGATTAATCCTGTGTTTCACCATTTTTAATCTGTTACACAGAAGTGCTGTTGTGAACATGTTTGTGTGTTTGGTGTTTTTTGTCTTCCAAAACGAAACCCTGGAGAGGCGTTGTGGCCATGTGGCAAACGCTAATGGAGAATTAATGGGCTTGCAAACAGCTCAGCTGGTGGCTAAATGCCTGCAGCTCAAGCAGTTTATTGTATTCTTTGTGTGCACATAAATACACAGAATGGCACAAGCATACACAACTCTTGTGCTCACACACACACACACACACACACACACACACACACACACACACACACACACACACACACACACGGTCATAGTCTTAAGGCTTATCTCGCTGTGTACACAGATTGTTCAGCTTTACTAAACGCTCAGCTCACCAGAGGTTGTGTCTGGTGACAGAGTGAATCCACAAGGTGTGGCTTACGTAGACAAAATGGACCAAGTGTAATACGACAACTGAACAACAACTAACTATGGCCTCAGGTACACCGTCTCACCTATATCAGCTGGCCAATAATTACTGGTGAGAGATGAATCAATGAAGCGTTGTTATCACATCACTGCACAAAGTCATTTAATAATGAATATACATACGAGCTTCAACCAAAAGCTTTATGCAAGGACAGAATTAGCATTTTGGACTAACGGCTGTAGGTCTCACGGGTCTGAGCAGCAGGTAGCAGCCGTTCTGAAGACTCAATCTGAAGATGTACACAGAGAGAAGGAAAAACATGTTTATGCTCCTGTCACCTATTCACAAATGGACCAGTCACCGTGGAAACCTAAAGAGCAAATAAGAGTGAGGTTCTAAAACTAAACAGCTCCATCTGATCTTTAACTGCATGAATGTTCACCCCTGGTGCTCCAAAACTAAGAAGAAAACTCCGAAGGAAACCATGCAGAGAAGGTGTGTGTGTGGCCAACCTGGTGAGATCTGCCTGCTGCTGAAGCTGCTCTTGGACTTTACGACAAACGTCACCGGCGATGTCAAACACTTTGCCGACCTTGGTGAAGAGTCCTGCTATCTTGTCGCTGCGGAGGAACCCAGCAGCCCGTCTCTTCAGGAGGTGAGTCAGACATGCCTCGATGGCAGCTGGAGGGACAGGAGGTGCGTTAGTACGGACAGAGACACGAGGACACACAGGAGTCAGGTCTACAAGTCAACTCTGCTATTTGCAGGATTGTTTATGACACCACAACACAACCCAGTGAAGAAGATGAAGTTTGCTGCATTATGTGGATGAAGTCTCCACATCAGACTCAGACTTAGATGAACTTCATCACTCCCTCAGAAGAGCTCCCTGGTGAAGGGAAGGAAACCCAGACATCACTTTATCTTGACGTAAAGATACTAATTATGTTAACATTGCACATCATAAAGAGACACTTGTTCATAAATGATAAACGACCTGCACTTGACTTCAAAGTGCTTTACACTACAGTGATCATTCACACGCTGGTGGTGATGAGCTACGCTGCAACCCCAGCTGCCCTGGAGCACACTGACAGAGGCGAGGCTGCCAAGCACAAGCCCCACCGGTCCCTCCGACCACCACCAGCAGGAAAGGTGAGTTAAGTGTCTTGCCCAAGGACACAACAACATTCTCTGCTGAGAGCCAGGATCGAACTTGCAACCTTCTAATTACTTCCAAATATCAGGAAGAACAACTCCATGTCCTGCTGTCTGAAGCTCTCCTCTGACGTGGCATTCTGCTAGTTCCTGAAGCAGGTGCATCCAACAGTGGTGTGTTTTGCACTGACACCTCAATACGATTCTGTAACAACTGTTTCAAACATTAAGAGGACAACAAGTTAGATCAGAGGTGTTCTGGTAGACTATGTCGGCATAGTCAAGCATTGGGAGTATTAACCGAGTGATAACTTGTTTTCTGACCTGCAGAGTAAAACAATTACTAGGATAGAGGAATAATGTGTTCCAGGTCAGTATGATTCTTTCCTGACAATTGAGTTAATATGCGATTTGAATGACAACTGAAAATCAACTTTTAGCACTGGGGTTCTACCTATGAAGTTATTTGATTAGTCAATTTGTAATGAGAATTTTTTTTGTATAAACCCATCCATCCATCCATCCATCCATCCATCCATCCATTTTCTTCCGCTTATCAGGAGTCAGGTCATGGGAGCAGCAGCCTAAGTCGAGACGCCCAGACTTCCCTCACCCCAGTCATTTGGGCTAGCTCCTCTGAGGGAATCCCAAGGCGTTCCCTGGCCAGGTGAGAGACAAAGTCCCTCCAACATGTCCTGGGTCTACATTTAGGTCTCCTCCTGGTTGGATGTGCCCGGGAGGTGTCCAGGAGGCATCCTAACAACTGGCCCCTCTTGATCTGGAGGAGCAGCGGATCTACTCTGAGCCCCTCCCGGATGACCTAGCTTCGGAAGAGCCCAGCCACCCTGTGGAGAAAACTTATTTCAGCTGCTTGTGTCCGGCATCTCGTTCTTACAGTCACTACCCAAAGCTCGAGACCGTAAGTGAGGGTAGGAACGAAGATCGACCGGTAAAGTGAGAGCTTCGCCTTCTGGATTAGCTCTCTCTTCACCACGACAGATTGGTACAACACCCGCATCACTGCAGACGCAGCACCAATTTACCTGTAGATCTTGCACTCCATCTTTCCCTCACTCATGAACAAGTAAGATAACTCCTCCACTTGGGGCAGGACCTTGTCCCTGACCTGGAGAAGGCATTCTACCCTTTTCTGAATTAAGACCATGGTCTCAAATTTAGAGGAACTGATTCTCATCCCTGCTGCTTCACACTTGGCTTCGAATCGCTCCACCAAAAGCCGTAGATCATCTTCTGATGAAGCCAACAGGACCACATCATCTGCAAAAGGCAGAGACCCGATCCTCAGGTCACCAAAATGGATGCACTCAACACCTTGGCGGTGCCTTATTAATCCTGTTCTGAAAACTTAGAAAGCAGGTGAACACAACATGAAACAGTAACATTATTTTGCGTAAAAGAAACCCAAACAAATCCAGATGGAAAGAAAAACACATTAAAGTTCATTCGCAAATCTCTTCCGCAGACTCAAGATTGTTTTCTTGCTTGTTTCAGTTATAAACACGATGGATTTAGAGACCAAATCTGTTTGTCTGACAGCATCTATTTATGAAGATCTTTGGTTTATCTATAAATCAACACACAGACACTTCAAATTGTAAATCTGTGTTTGATAAGATGAACACTAATATGGTTCCCAACAACAATAACTTACACCAATACGAACGGGCCTGACCAGACTAAAATGTCTCCCAGTTGGTGTACAGCACTGGTTACCAGTACACAGAGGTTTGCATCAGACACAAAAAGGAGACATTATGGGTCCATAAAACAGCCTCAATGTCTTCAGTAAATATATTAAAAGGAGGAGAAAGAGAGACAGTCTGAAGCACCAGAAACCGAGGGAGAGTTTGACAGACAGCTGCTGGAGACAGAATTGGAGACGAGCTTCGCTGCCTAATTAGCTTCATCTTCATTAGATCTGTTAATGATCTCAGTGGAGACAGCTCCAGAGGCACCTGCCAGCAGCACACGCACGCACGCACGCACACACGCACACACACACACACACACACACACACACACACACACACACACACACACACACACACACACACACACACACACACACACACACACACACACACACACACACACACACACACACACACACACACACACACACACACACACAGGGGGCAGAGACTAAGAGAAGGTATGAATGAGTTCAGGACACTCAGCAGCCATAATAAATGCCTTCCAGCTACAGGAACGACCATTTAGCTCAGGTAAAGAGGGTCTGCTTAATAATGCATTACTTAATATCAACATTAATAGTAAGCAGTTGTTATTGTTTTAATAATTTATTAACACTTAATAATGCACTAATTAACAATAAATAAAATACCCTTATTGAAAAGTGTTACCAAATTAACTCATGCTTTTAAATATTTATATGATTATAATAGCCTGTTTAAGCAGATAACTGCTTTGAGTTTCAAGAACAGAATGAATCTAAAAGTACCTGTAATATTTACAGATTGACTTATGTTTTTGTTACATTATCTACAAACAACATCCTATCAGAATAAAATATGCATACTCTTCACAGAAATGTGATTCATGTAATAATTTTCCAAAACTTTCTCACAGTAGATATTTATGGAAGAATAAAAAAAAAACAAGATTTCCATCCTTAATCTCAAAATAAAGTCACAATTATGACTTTTCTCAAAGTTTAGAAATTCTCCTCCAAATTCTCACATGTATCTCAGAATTCCAACAAAAAGATAACTTTTCTCCAGTGGTCCTGATGCTATTGCATAGAAATTTCTCAAATATTATATAAGTGTCTTAAAAAAATTAAGATCCTATGGCAATTGTGTATCTGAACAAGTCTTACTCTGGTTGGCTCATGGGAAACACAGCTCTTTGGCTGCAACAGTAATATGAAGGAACCTGTGTTCAGAGAAAACATTTTTAACACAACAACTGAACTAGCTGCGTAAATGTTTCCAGTATGATGGACGACTTTAATTATGTTGCAGGCTGTGGGCTTTGACTGATTTGAGCTGATCTGATCTCTATGTGTTGAGTTGTTTGTATATTCAACCATTTACATGAATAAGCACGGAGCTCAGGGCAGTAATAACTGCTGCTGGTAATCTAATGGTAGGTTTGTAGCTCTCGCTGCATTGTTCCCTACAGTGAAACATCCTCTAACAGAAATAAATGCAGCTTGTAGCTTAAACACAAAATTTTGGCTTGTGGGTTTTACTGGTTTTTAAACGATTCATTATTTGTAGAACATAAAAATCAAAAATGTTATTGCAGTTTCCTTGTACGTATAAAATAATGGCAAACACACACACACATCTCAGAAGAGTTTTAGTCAGGAGGCACAGAGCAACAGTTCCTGTTCTGAAGAGTCGGGCCTTTCTAGACTCGAATCTTGACCCACTGGAGACACCAGACCAGAATCCAGATGCGTCAGGAGACCTTAGAGCAGAATCTAGACCTACCAGGACACCTTAGACCAGAATCTAGGCCCACCAGGAGACCTTCAACCAGCATCTAGACCAACTGGAGACCTTAGACCAGAAACTAGATGCGTCAAGAGACCTTAGACCAGAATCAAGAAACAACATGAGACCTTAGACCAGAATCTAGACCCACTGCAGACGTTAGACCAGACTCTGGACCCACTGGAGACCTTAGACCAGACTCTGGGCCCACTGGAGACCTTAGAACAGACTCTAGACCCATGATTAGACCTTAGACCAGACTCTATACCCATGATTGGACCTTAGACCAAAATATAGACCCACCAGGAAATCATAGACTAGAATCTAGACCAACTAGAGACCTTAAACCAGACTCTGGACCCACTGGAGACCTTAGACCAGACTCTAGACCCATGATTAGACTTTGGACCAAAATATAGACCCATCAGTAGACCGTAGAATCTAGGCCCACTAGAAACCTTAAACCAGACTCTAGACCCATCAGGAGACTTAAGATCAGAATCTAGACCAACTAGAGACCTTAAACCAGACTCTGGACCCACTGGAGACCTTAGACCAGACTCTAGACCCATGATTAGACCTCAGACCTGTCTCTAGACCCATGATTAGACCTCAGACCTGACTCTAGACCCATGATTAGACTTTGGACCAAAATATAGACCCATCAGTAGACCGTAGAATCTAGACCCACTAGAAACCTTAAACCAGACCCATCAGGAGACTTAAGATCAGAATCTAGACTGACTGGAGACCTTAGACCAGACTCTGGACCCACTGGAGACCTTAGACCAGACTTTACACCCATGATTAGACCTTAGACCAAAATATAGACCCATTGGAAACTTTAAATCGACATCTAGTCCCACCAGGAGACTTTAGACTAGAACGTTGACCCACTAGAGACATGATTAGAATTTAGACCCACTGGAGACCTTAGAACAAAATCTAAACCAACTGGAAGCGTTAGACCAGAATCTAGACCCATCACGATACTTAGAAATGACCGTGATCCATGTTATACTGATTAAAGCTTGGTTTATG